GTGGAGAGCAAATGTTTTGAGAATGATGAGGGCAACGAATGTACAAATGTGCTTTACACAACTGATGTATGTATGGATTGTGATAAGAGTTGTATGAGCCCCTAACAAAATGAGTAAACAAAAAAAGGGAAGATTTCACATGAAGGCTCAATCCTATCAACAGAGGCCGCGTGAGGGACATGGTCATGCCTGGTTTGGTTCCAGGCACCCCTGACGTAGGACTTGGTGGTGCAGGTGAAAGGCTCATGTGAGCACGATTCTGGGAGAAGGAACCAGGGGGTCTCCAAGGTGTTTGTTGGATGTGAACCTTTGCTGCTAATTTTCCATCAAAGCCCTCCTCGTTTGGGGGCTGGGGAGTGCTGTGTTAGCTCAATGAAACATCTGAGGTCTCTTCCCACCAGCTGACCAGCCATTAGCAGTGGCCATGGACACGATAGACATTCACTACTCATGAAATGTTCTTTCCCTTGTCCCATGTGTACCAAGGGGCTCAACATCAAAAGAACAGCAGGGAGAAAATGACCGTGAGTGTCAAGCGCCCATGCCCGGCTCTGGAACAAACAAGCTGCAGTGTACATGCCCAGAGCAACAGGAGAGAGTAGTGCGGCTGGAGCCCGGGACCAGTCGAATTCCGAACTGTGGGAAGCTGACATCAATTAGACTAGTTGCAGCAGAATCCCGACCACGATGGCCTGTGGGAACCGATCAATCATCTAGCTTCTCTCCATGTTTCGTTTCCTCTCCCTCCAGCCCTCCCCAGCCCCTTTCTTCCCTTCCTCACTCCCTTCTTAGAATGATACCCTTCCATCTGAAATCTCAAAGTCTTGTCTCTTGATCTGACCATTTCAGAGAATTTGCCCTCCAGTGATTTTTTTACATGCCAGGGAAAATTTTAGATTTGCAGCCCGGCCAGCTCTCTCAGGAACCACCCCATCACACACTCTGTGCCCTAGAAACCGCCTGAGAACCCTAATTCGAGCCCTAATTCGAGCCACCCCACTCTCTTGTCAGACTCTGGATCTGCATCTGGCTGCTCAGCTCATTCCTTTTGACTTCAGGCCTGCGCTCGGGGCTCAGTTCAACATGCTCTGTCTCCCCAAAGCTTCGTTTGCGAGGTGCTTCCTCAGGCCAAATCCAAATTGCATCCCACGAAGTGCTCTGCCCAGCCCACCTGTGTAGGAAGGCCACCCAGGGGCACTCTGCATCGTTTGTCCTTGTGCCCCTCACACACAGACGCAGACACGCTCCTCTAAAGACCCCCAGTCTTGGATTCTGGGCTGAGTCCCATGGGTCCCATACACTTAGGATCTGCACGTTTCTACCAGAAAGCCCTCCTTGAATTCATTCAGGTGGAAACGTCCCTTGGAGACCAGGCCTGGGGGTGGGCAGGAAGGAGCTGCGGAGGAGAAGGCCAGGGGCTGTGAGCAGCCGCGGTGGGGGTGGCAGCTGGCCTGCCTCCCCATCAGGGACATACTCATCTCAAGACGCAGCCAGATGGTGCCAGCCGAAACAGGCAGACCGTGTGTATCCGTTGTTGCCTGCTCCTTGGCCTCCGCTTGCCAAATCCCCGCTCTTCCTCCCCCCCACCCCACCCCCACCACCACTCTCCTCGCTCTGCCACCTCCCAGAGCAAGTCTCTTCCCTGGCCTCCAAGTCTCTTCCAGCTCCACAGCCTGTCTCTCGGTCCCCTCTGAGGAGCTTTTGGAAGGTTGACAAGGAGCCAGGAACACCTTCAGAAGCAAGCCTGACAGAAACCCCGCAGGGACTCCAGGGTCATGATTCCCCTTCTTTTCCTTCCTCTGTTCCCCACCCATGGCCACAGCTCATGGGAGCTTCTCTCGCTCAGAACTAGGAGGCAAAGGACATTTATAGAGGTCTAAATACAGGCATGTACATATGTAAATATATTTATATATAATGATGGGGAAATAGACCTATGTTTATAGGTTTAGTATTAAGGCAGCAGATGGACATTGGGCCTCTACTCAAGTACTCCCTCAATGCAAGAACACTTTGTTCTATTAAACTGGCATTCCATGATGCTCACCTTCCCAACATGATCGCT